CATCCAATGCACGAGTTGGGATGATCAGTCCGCTCCATCCAGTCCATCAGCTGTTATTGAAATTATTCGCGAGATGGCAAAGAATCCCACTGGTCATCCTATCGTCGTTCACTGTTCAGCAGGTGTTGGTCGGACATGCACATTGTTGGGTAGGTGGATTTTCCAATAGTGTTCATTGCAATCATTTAGATGATATATACCATGTCACTTTATTCGCGCCTTTCAAACCAAATTCGTCCTTTTTCAAACCAAATTCGTCCTTTTTCAAACCAAATTCGTCCTTTTTCAAACCAAATTCGTCCTTTTTCAAACCAAATTCACCCTCACTCTTCATCAAGAACCACACTTATTAGGGCGGGCAACTCATCAACCAGATCACGCCAGACATCACTGCGAGCCCCGCCCCGACGGCCACGCCCACTTGTCAGCGCGGACATAGATTCTCAAATCTTGTTTCATAACTTCTGCTTTTGCTGTTTCCCACAAACACTTTGACTGGAAACCACCGTGCATTCACACATGGCCGACTCCGCCCATTCTCTAAAGGGTTTGGCACTCTAGGCTGACCACGCCCTGGCTTTTCGCGGAATTTCGATGTTTTTTCAAAATTTTTGCAATTTAGGGTTGCTGCGTGAAGCCCGCCCTTTGTGAGATGCTCCGCCCACTTTGAATAAGCCCCGCCCACTTTTCAAAAATGGTGCAGATCGGCAGTATAGAGACTTGGCTTGCATGTTAGGGTCTCGTACGTCACTCGGAACAAGAAAATCCGGCAAAGTTTATTCCGAATGATCAGCAATACACTAACATGCAAGCCAAGTCTCTATATCCCCGCCGATCTGACCATTTTGGAAAAAGTGGGCGGCTTTATCAAAGTGGGCGGAGCATACTCACAAAGGGTGGGCTCCAGCGCAGCACCCATACATTGAGCAAAAATTTGAAAAAACATCGAAATTCCGGAAAAGCCAGTGGGCGTGGTCAGCCTAGAGTGCCAAACCCTTTAGAGAATGGGCGGAGTCGGCCATGTGTGAATGCACGGTGGTTTCCAGTCAAAGTTTGTGGGAAACAGCAAAAGCAGAAGTTATGAAACAAGATTTGAGAATCTATGTCCGCGCTGACAAGTGGGCGTGGCCGTCGGGCGGGCTCGCAGTGATGTCTGGCGTGATCTGGTTGATGAGTTGCCCGCCCTAATAAGTGTGGTTCTTGATGAAGAGTGAGGGTGAATTTGGTTTGAAAAAGGACGAATTTGGTTTGAAAAAGGACGAATTTGGTTTGAAAAAGGACGAATTTGGTTGAAAAAAGGACGAATTTGTTTGAAAAGGGCGAATTAAAGTGAAATGTATATTTTGTTTATCAGGAAAAGTACAAAAAATACAGCCGCAGTAAACTGGACTCGGGATCAGACAGTAACTTTTGTTTTTTTTGGGTGGGACAACCAGGGAGCGTCAGAGCTACGAAACTACCACTTATAAGGGCCCACAGCGCCTTCGTCACATCCTGTGAAGTCTCCAAGTGGTACAATCTCAAAGAATTGAGACCAGACTATTGCATAAAGGAAGACACCTGCGATTAGCTTGAGCACGAGAACCGTCTTTTAGGAGGAAGGCAAGTTGATGTGGCCTACCGAAGAAAAACCTATACTTCTTTTTCCCTCACCTCACCCTCCCATATTCCGACCGTTGAGGACAGTATACGGCGGGATTCCGACCTTGCCGGATTATGACTTTCGGAACGCTTGAGATGTGATCCAGAGTGAAGAATTTTATGAACGAAAAAAGCATAAAAAAGTGTATCGTTACTGCCAGGTATTGAAATGGGATAGTACTTAGTTAATTTCAGAGTTCCTTTTCTGCATAGGATTCTAGAATTTATTCCTCCAGGAAGTCTGCTGCTGCTGGAGAGAGTTCGGAAAGGTAAAGATGCAACTGGTGCTTCTCTGCGGTGCTTCGGAACTCGTCGTTAGGCCAATCCAAAAGGATACAGTCGTGTTCTGCATGCCTCACCATCGAGAGTTATGTCGAGGTGTCCGAAGAAAATTTTGTCCTCATTGAAAGATACATTGTTACGAACTGACTTACACTCCACGAGTCTACATAGCATAACTATAGTGCAACAGTGTTCTTGTACAACCATTTGCCAGAAATCGGGTACAGTCGAAGGAATAGGGCCCTGAAGACGTTCAAACATCACTGAATGTCACGTAGTGTTGATTTTTTAATAGATTTATTACCAGCATTAAAGAAACCAGGTCTGCAGTGGCCATGAAAATGCAAAAGATTCTGTGGGCAAGGTAAATGTGGTCCACAACGGACAACTTGTAATAGTTTTGTGGCGGAAAGTTGTAAGGTACAGGAGTTGAGGTGCGAAGTTGACGAAGAGCGCCAGTGACACCACCCCTTTTCCAGTGACTCAGCCTTCAACGTCTTCCTCCCAGTTAATAGCGATTCTACCGAATAAGAAGCATGCGAATGGATGCTCCACTGCCTTGGGATCAAAGCGCTGTAACAAGGAATTATCCTACTGGACTCTTTCCAACACACGGTCTTTTGGCCTTATTACAAGTACAATTAATTGATGCTGGAGGGGTCCAATTAAAGGTGTTCCCGATGTTCACCAACCATTAGACATTCTCTCTTCACAGACGAGTCACTTAACAACTTCAATCACTCCCCTTTGGAACTCATCACGTATTCTAGTTCCACTGAAGATCGAAGTGGCATTTTGGATGCGATTTGGCCCGTGGAGTACATTGCGTGGATCAATCTATGAACAAATCAAAGTTTTGACCTTCCCAGACACCAGCTGATACCATCTCGTACGAAAGGACTGGTGGGTGGGCTGGCGTGCGCGGAAGTTGTTACGAGATTTTACCCCTTGGTGCCTGTGGGAGGCGGAGTTATTAGCTCCATCATCAGTAACGTTCCCAGAAATTCACCTTCGCAGTAAAGAAGAGGAACTTACCTGTGTGCAAATGTATTTTTGCCCAGAAGCGGCAATGACCCAATTTGCGTTGATGTAATCAGGTTGCTTTCCTTTGAGAATTACACGTGATGAGTCGATGCACGGAATATCACGGTACCTTAATTGCAAAACGCTGTCAGCTTCACCTTAAAGGCAGTGGGCACG